GCGGTGTTCTGTTATTTATTTTTTTTATTTTTTTTTTCAGTGAAGGGGTGAAGGACAGAAATTCGTCGGCGAATGACGGTTACGTTTGATGACGCACGCCTGTCAGTTCAGCACGTATATGAAGGGAGTAGGAAGTTTCAAAACGGCTTGACAGATTTTTCACTACCAGGTCAGGCACACCGAGCAGTGACTCCAGATTCGATTACATCGGTTTGAAACTTCCTTCTCCACTCACTTTACGAGTGCCTACCATGCCTATTCACAATTTTTTATCTGGTGTGTTTTCAATACATTGTGACACAAATAATTTTTAACGCATTGATTTCAAACAGGTCATATCAAGCTCCACGAAGGATTGGAAAACATTATAGCAGAAGACATGGTTCCAGGAAGGAGAGGCAGGGGCCAACCGACACGAAGATGGGTATAGGATATAAGTGACTCCTTAAGTATGAAAGAACATGAGACGGGAGAACTGGCGAGAGACCGAGCTTCTTTCAGGCAGACTGTGTTGAGAGCGACGTTCTGCAAAGGACCTGCTACACGATGATGATGATTTCAAACTGTCTAGCATCTTCTGTATCGGTCTCTGTGGGCCTATTTTTCCTACAACTTTCCCACCGTTACCTTGCATTTTAGTTTTCTTCTTCTCGTGATATGTCCACATAATACAGATTGTCTCTTTCTGATGTAGACAATCAGTTGTCTTCGTGAGTCACTTTATTTCAAGACATCTTTATTACTTGTTTTTATCTATCCAGGGCGTTTTCATCATTCATTCATGAAACCGCATCGCCGCTGCTTGGTCATAATTATTCACTTATTGGTCAACGGTACGTGATTCACATCCATATACCATGATAGGATTTATGTAGTTCTTGAGACTTTTCTTTCTCACTCCAATGACACAGAAAGATTACAGAGAATGTTATCCTTTTTGTGAAATAACTCTTTCATTTGAGCTTTTCTACATTTAACTTCTTTAATACATCTTCCATCTGCTTGCCTATCCGCCATATACTCAAATCTCCGACCAGGTGGAAATAACTGACAACAAAATCGACCCTGTTGTCCTGTCATCTGTAACTAACAGAAACAAGCAACATACCACGATTAAAGTTTGAAACTGTCGTGATAAACCCTATGTGGACCATTTAGTTTATAACACTAACCAATTCCGACCCAGTCATTTCTTTAACTCATTCTGCCAAAAATGCATCATTTGAAACTCTTCAGACATGACTTAGTTAATGCAGCATCTTATTGCAACAAAAGGAGTTGGAAGGGGCACCAGATAGTGTTGTAAGAAGTATTGGTGACAGTTGAGAGTTTGGCAACATCAAACATTGAGTCCGTCGACCTATACAAACACTGGGTTAGAACCGTGAACATCATTGACCTCAAAACGTGAATGAGAACCCATTACGTATATTTAGTTTCCTTATCTACATAATAATTTATGTAAAGTTGTATGCGTGCCGAAAAAAAGTTTCATATTACCATCAGAAAGCAATCTCAAACTGAGACCATTGTTGTAGGATATCTGTTTAAGTGCATACCACAGTAACTTCGTGTCAGGAACGATAGCAGAAGAACACGAGGAATTTAGGAGAAAAAGAAGCGGAACAGGTGCAATCTTCACACTTAAATTGTTAACAGAAAAGAACAGCGAATACGATTACAACTTATTTATGGCATTTGTAGACCAGGAGAAGGCATTTCAGAGTCGAAAGACAAGTATTAGGAAAAGTAATAGCTCGATATGAAGTAAGCGAATACAACATCGGATTGTGCACTCGTTTATGTAGGGATTGTAGATGCGTAGTTAGAATAACTCAGGAAACATCTAAACCAATATCTGGAGTAGAACACGGATGTATCATATGGCCACTACTGTTGGAAACCAACATCAACAGCAGTGTATGCAAGGATGCCAAGCACAGAAACAACAATATCGGTAAAACCAATATAATTTTTTCTGATAACAAAGCCTTGATAGCGACCTGTGAAACGGATGTACACGCAACACTTAGTTTCTGGAACAGGACGAGAGTCCAGAAGCGGACGAACAACCAGAACTTTTTCGCCGGAGTGTACAGCCGGCGAACGCGAAGAAGCAATGGTCAATGATTATGAGTACGAAGGTGGCTGATCTGTCCAATATGAGCCTGGACAGTTCTTGAGCGGTGCGGACACCAGATGGAAGACGCAGTAAGTGTAGGATTAGCAGTACGATTTTAACTGTACTATTAGCATGTCAACACTTCGTTTGTTACTGAAGAAGGGGACGGAGCACCTGTGGGAAGATCCCGAGTGCAATGATGTCAGTTCTTGATTTATTCTTTCATTCATAATCTGCAAATTATTTCATGATAGGCCATTTGTCTACGGTACACGCTTAAAATAATTCTTATCACCATCACAGTGCATAGCGTCAGAGCAGCAGTGTAGAATAATATGGTACATAAGAAAGTCTCCTAAACTAGGCAAACTAAATCGGCTGCCTTGCGTGGGAGAAGGAACCTTCATTGTATTTCTTTTCCTTATCTACAATACAATTTACATAAAATCAGTGTCAGCAATGATATGTTTCAAGTACGTTTAGGGTCATTGCCATTACAAAGCAGTCACTGCCTGAGATCATCAGTGTAGAAAAAAAAATTCTTCACAAGAACTTTCTTGTCAACTTTCAGTCTTTACAGAAAACAGTGCTACGGTGTGCCTTAGATAGTCATGTAAATCCTAACCCTTGTCGAGGGCCAGTGGTAATGGTTAGACCAGCTCGTGTTTTGAAAAGTACTCCCCATTTAGAGAATGGTATTTCAAGACCAGTGTTGTCGTTGAATGTATTTAATGTGTTTTTTTTCCGGAGCATAGCTCCTAAACTTTCTTAAATCATATTCATCTTTATTCTTTTTCCATGCTTGGCTCGCTTGCATAGTTGGTTATACCTGACTTCGCGACGACCGGGTGAAAACCTCCTTGTGGTCCAGGTTCACGCCCGGGAGTAGACAGAAAAGCAACATTTCCCCCAGATGTACGGTCTCTATCATGGAATCAAGGCCCAAGGGTTGCGATATCCATAATACCGAGCCAAACCCATGATTTCTGGATATTTTTTTTTCCCTTTCCTCCATACAGTTTATAGTTATGTTTATTTAACGGATCAACATCATGACACACGGGTGTAGCCCATAAGCCCCCCGTTCTTCTTCTAACTCAAGCCTGACTGCGAAGATTCTCAGCGCAGTGAACGAACTCTGCAGAATCGGCGAGGATCCTGAAATACTTCAGGTAGATTTGTAACTCTAAATTTTGCCCAGGCAGCGCCGTTAGGCTACTCTTTTCGATTTCCAACTGCCAAGGGATTTTTAACATGCGCACGGGCGTCCGATATCACTACCTAGAGACCAGGTAGAATTATTAGAAGTCCAAGTCCACGTGAAAAAATCCCAGCTCTAAACGGGGATTGAACCTGCAACGTCTAGTACTCGGGGAGGTCACCATGCAGACCACGCAAACCCCTCGTCATTTAGAGAATGATATTTTAAGTCCATTGTTGCTGTTGAATGTATTTATTGAACTTTTCCTCAGGCGCATAGTTGGTAACCTATGTAAATTCGTCTTTCCCTTTATTAAAATTCCCTTTTTGCCATACAGTATGGTCCTTGACATTTTGTTCTCAAATATCTACCGTAAGCTTTTCGCCCCGTAAATTAAAAAACAAAAAATAGTATTCCTAAAATTAATTCGTGAATAATGCAGTTATCGAAATAGCAAAACTTTTTTTTCGAAATATAAAAAGATATATGTGGGTCAGGATTAAACTAAATACATCTCCTAGGGCCTAAAAAATAACTCCTATTTGCCGACTCACGTCGTGGCCTTGTGACCTTTACCACGGAGGCACGTGCAAAAATTTGATGTTATCTTGGCTATTAAAAAAAAAGACGATATTTGTTAGTTCATTTATTAATATACAGACTCCTTGATGGTTTGTGCAGGTGCAAACTCAGACAATAGCATTGTCTATACAGGTCATAATAGGCAAGTCGGAAATGTGACAATTACGGGAAACTAGACCCAACTAGATGTGTCAGTTTTTTAGCTTCCCGGGGGAGGGGGTGGAGAGACAATACCCATATCATTCATATCCTTTTTGCCTATATCTGTTTATCGTAGTAGACGCCGACCTCCGCATTAACAAGCAGGTGAACATATGTCATCTATATAGGTTACGTTTCTAAATACGACGATAATAAATTACAAACCCTTTGTGTATTTCATGTTTATTATAAATAAACTGGCAAATCCTACCAAACCGTGACCAATGCATAGGGTTAAATTTCTCTCAGTTGTAATCTTTTCACAATTTTTCTTGATCTACCTCGGATTCTATGTTCTTTTTCTCTTTTATTTAGTAAATGCCTTGTTTAGCATTGGGGCCGCTGTTGTGTAGAAAGATCGCCTGCAGATCAAATGGTCGTGGATTTAGGTACTGGTGGAACCTGATTGTTTTTTTTTTGTTTTGTTTTTTGTCCTCCAAAAACTAACCTTAGCTCTCAGGTAGACGCAGCCTTAAATGGGTACCAGATCAAATCCTGGGGAAATAGAGACGGCCGGCGGGATGTTGACCACGTCACCCACCGATTGTCGCTTGGTCTACAAAGAATAGTTCTAGCCCTATATGCCAACTACTCTTAAGGTGCGTAAAAGGGTCCTTTATCTGAATGGTGTGGCATCACCGGACAGTAGGGCTAAATAAGCAACATATTTAATTTTATTTTCTGTTTTAGTAGGCAATCCACTACTGATTACCTAAATTCTGATTTTACCCCCACCCTAACCCTTTTTCTATGGGGGCGGGGTGCGGGGGAGGGGGGGGGGGTCACTATCTAAGCCTTTCTCTTGAATATCTCTTCCCGCCCCCTTCCTCCGCCTTTCCATCCCATGGTTATTATTATTTTGTTTCTCATAAAGGGACAATTAACGTAAAATACCTTATTGAATTTCTCCAGAACATTCTGCACGGCTGGTTTGTGACTCTCATAATCCACAACATCGAGAGGAAAAACCATAATATCATCTTCGGAAAGCTTTCCTTTGCCTGATGGGGAAAAAATTAACAATGTACTGCTAATTGATTTTTTAAATGATATATTCTGTGAAACTAAAATACACAAGTGAATCAAGGACAGCCAGTGGATTCAGGAAAAATCGTGAAGAAGCTGCGTAGACGAGGTTCTAAAGCATATGGTGAAAATACAATGGGTGGATAATACATAAAATAAAGAAATTGTAGTAGGCAGCTGTGTAGGAAATGAAATGGCAATTAGACAGGCTGGTTCTGCACCATTTAGTGGTATATTAATTCATGACAAGCTAGATGTCGTAAGGGTCCTTTAAGGAACTAATAAAATGTGATCACCAGTCAGAAAAGCTAGACGGACATACAATCAGACCGTTATCGGCATCACCGAAACTGGACATCTGCACTTGCTGCTGAAGGTAGAGATGGAACGCTTATGGAAACGTGACGAGTGCTGTGATGGTTCTTAACTCTTAAGTGACAGAAATTAACTGACGTAGAGTGTTGATTACGCGCAGCAGAAAATTAATTTAATTGATCACGTCGTTAATTTTCGAGAACGGTAATACATTGTTCGGAGCATTAGCGTAGTCGATAGGAGGCTCGCTCTAGAATCCAGCTCCGACTCACTCCAGCCACGGTCGTTGTTCAAAACCGGACGGTTCCAGGGATTCGCCCAGCCACTAGGAAATAGGTACCAGAGTTTACACTCTGGGGTGACTGGAGAAAAATCGCTGTAGCTACGGAGATACGTGCGGACTTCGACACAGGCTGTCCGTACTGGTGGCAGAGCACTTATGGTTTATAACCGTGCGCAATGATGCTGGTTCACATCTCCCGACTTTATCTTACATTGTTCGGAAAGTTCAAGGGAAGAGAGACAGATGGACGTCTGAAAAGAAAAGTTGGGTGGTGGGCATCATAGCATGAACTTCAAGAATTTAAGAAAATTCGTTAAGAAAAGTCTTGGTATGGTAAGAGTTCAGTTTCCACAGTACTTTTTTTTTAGTGTGGCTCCTCCCAACACCTAGTTCTTTCTTTGAGAGCCAATAAATATTGTTGTTAAGGCATCAGTAGCATTCGTGACTATTTTTTTCTTTCAGACAGTGGTGAGGCCTCAGTAGAATCCTTGACTAGGTTTCTTTCAGAGAGTGCTTAGGCCTCAGTAGAATCCCTGACTAGCTTTCTTTCAGACAGTGGTGAGGCCTCAGTAGAATCCTTCACTAGCTTTCTTTCAGACAGTGGTGAGGCCTCAGTAGAATCCTTAACTAGCTTTCTTTCAGATAGTGGTGAGGCCTCAGTAGAATCCTTGACTAGGTTTCTTTCAGACAGAGGTGAGGCCTCAGTAGAATCCTTCACTAGCTTTCTTTCAGACAGTGGTGAGGCCTCAGTAGAATCCTTAACTAGCTTTCTTTCAGACAGTGGTGAGGCCTCAGTAGAATCCTTAACTAGCTTTCTTTCAGATAGTGGTGAGGCCTCAGTAGAATCCTTGACTAGGTTTCTTTCAGAGAGTGCTTAGGCCTCAGTAGAATCCCTGACTAGCTTTCTTTCAGACAGTGGTGAGGCCTCAGTAGAATCCTTCACTAGCTTTCTTTCAGATAGTTGTGAGGCCTCAGTAGAATCCTTGACTAGCTTTCTTTCAGACAGAGGTGAGGCCTCAGTAGAATCCTTCACTAGCTTTCTTTCAGACAGTGGTGAGGCCTCAGTAGAATCCTTAACTAGCTTTCTTTCAGACAGTGGTGAGGCCTCAGTAGAATCCTTAACTAGCTTTCTTTCAGATAGTGGTGAGGCCTCAGTAGAATCCTTGACTAGCTTTCTTTCAGAGAGTGCTTAGGCCTCAGTAGAATCCCTGACTAGCTTTCTTTCAGACAGTGGTGAGGCCTCAGTAGAATCCTTCACTAGCTTTCTTTCAGACAGTGGTGAGGCCTCAGTAGAATCCTTAACTAGCTTTCTTTCAGATAGTGGTGAGGCCTCAGTAGAATCCTTGACTAGCTTTCTTTCAGACAGAGGTGAGGCCTCAGTAGAATCTTTGACTATTGCTTTCTTTCAGAGAGTGGTGAGGCCTCAGTAGAATCCATGACTATTGCTTTCTTTCAGAGAGTGGTGAGGCCTCAGTAGAATATATGACTATTGTGGTCTTTTAGACAGGGGTGAGGCCTCGGTAGAATCTATTACTATTGCTATCTTTTGAACAGTGATGAGGCCTCTGTAGAATCTATTACTATTGCTATCTTTTACACAGTGGTGAGGCCTCTGTAAAATCTATGACTATTGCTTTCTTTCAGAGAGTAGTGATACCTCTGTAGAATCTATGACTATTGCTTTCTTTCAGCGAGTAGTGATACCTCTGTAGAATCTATGACTATTGCTTTCTTTCAGAGAGTAGTGATACCTCTGTAGAATCTATGACTATTGCTTTCTTTCAGAGAGTAGTGAGGCCTCTGTAGAATCTATTACTATTGCTATCTTTTACACGGTGATGAAGCCTGGGTAGAATCTATTAATATTGCTATCTTTTACACAGTGGTGAGGCCGCGTTATAATTTATTAATATTGCTATCTTTTAAACAGTGATGAGGCCTCTGTAGAATCTATTACTATTGCTATGTTTTACACAGTGGTGAGGCCTCTGTAGAATCTATGACTATTGCATTCTTTCAGAGAGTAGTGATACCTCTGTAGAATCTTTGACTATTGCTTTCTTTCAGAGAGTAGTGATACCTCTGTAGAATCTATGACTATTGCTTTCTTTCAGAGAGTAGTGAGGCCTCTGTAGAATCTATTATTATTGCTATCTTTTACACAGTGGTGAGGCCTCTGTAGAATCTATTATTATTGCTATCTTTTACACAGTGGTGAGGCCTCTGTAGAATCTATGACTATTGCATTCTTTCAGAGAGTAGTGATACCTCTGTAGAATCTTTGACTATTGCTTTCTTTCAGAGAGTAGTGATACCTCTGTAGAATCTATGACTATTGCTTTCTTTCAGAGAGTAGTGAGGCCTCTGTAGAATCTATTATTATTGCTATCTTTTACACAGTGGTGAGGCCTCTGTAGAATCTATTATTATTGCTATCTTTTACACAGTGGTGAGGCCTCTGTAGAATCTATTATTATTGCTATCTTTTACACAGTGGTGAGGCCTCTGTAGAATCTATTATTATTGCTATCTTTTACACAGCGGTGAGGCCTCTGTAGAATCTATTATTATTGCTATCTTTTACACAGTGGTGAGGCCTCTGTAGAATCTATTATTATTGCTATCTTTCAGAGAGTGGTGAGGCCTCTGTAGAATTTATAAAAATTGCTTTCTTTCTGAGTGGTGAGAACTCAGTAGAATCTATGACTATTGCTTTCTTACAGACAGTGGTGAGGCCTTATTGAAATCTTGATACTGCCGCTGCAGCTGCTGTCACAACCTTGATGCCGCTGCTGTCATAATCTTGGTGCCGCTGCTGCTGCTGTCACAACCTTGTTGCCACCGCTGCTGCTGTCACAACCTTGGTGTTGCTGCCGCTGTTGTCACAACCTTGGTGCTGCTGCGGTTGCTGTTACAACCTTGGTGCCACTGCCGCTGCTGTCACAAATTTGGTGCCGCTGCCTCTGCTGTCACAACCTTGATGTCGCCGCTGCTGCTATCACAACCTTGATGCTGCTATCACAACCTTGGTGCCGCTGCTGTCACAACCTTGATGCCGCTGCTATCGCAACGTTGGTGCCGCTGCCGCCTGTCACAACCTTGGTGCCGCTGCCGCTGCTGTCACAACCTTGGTGCCGCTGCTGTCACAGCCTTGATGCAGCTGCTGTCACAACCTTGGTTACGCTGCTGTCACAACCTTGATGCCGCAGCTGTCACAATCTTATTGCCGCTGCTGCTGCTGTCACAACCTTAGTGCCGCTGCCGCTGCTATCACAACCTTGGTGCCGCTGCTGTCACAACCTTGATGCCGCTGCTATCACAACGTTAGTGCCGCTGCTGTCACAACCTTGGTGCCGCTGCCGCTGCTCTCACAACCTTGGTGCCGCTGCCGCTGCTGTCACAACCTTGGTGCCGCTGCCGTTGCTGTCACAACCTTGGTGCCGCTGCTGTCACAGCCTTGATGCCGGTGCTGTCACAACCTTGGTTCCGCTGCTGTCACAACCTTGATGCCGCATCTGTCACAACCTTAGTGCCGCTGCTGCTGCTGTCACAACCTTGATGCCTCTGCTGTCACAATCTTAGTGCTGCTGCTGTCACAACCTTGTTGTCGCTGCTATCACAACCTTGGTGCCGCTGCTGTCACAACCTTGATGCCGCTGCTGTCACAATCTTAGTGCTGCTGCTGTCACAACCTTGATGCCGCTCTGTCACAACCTTGGTTCCACTCCTGTCACAACCTTGATGCCGCTACTGTCACAACCTTGTTTCCGCTGCTGTCAAAACCTTGATGCCGCTGCTGTCACAACCTTGGTGCAGCTGCTATCACAACCTTGGTGCCGCTGCCGCTGCTGTCACAACCTTGGTGCCGCTGCTGTGACAACCTTAATGCCGCCACTGTCACAACCTTGGTTCCACTGCTGTCACAACCTTGATGCCGCTGCTGTCACAACCTTGGTTCCGCTGCTGTCAAAACCTTGATGCCGCAGCTGTCACAACCTTGGTGCAGCTGCTGTCACAACCTTGATGCCGCTGCTGTCACAACCTTAGTGCTGCTGCTGTCACAACCTTGATGCCGCTACTGTCACAACCTTGGTTCCACTCCTGTCACAACCTTGATGCCGCTGATGTCACAACCTTGGTTCCGCTGCTGTCAAAACCTTGATGCCGCAGCTGTCACAACCTTGGTGCAGCTGCTGTCACAACCTATCTATCTATCTATCTATCTATCTATCTATCTATCTATCTATCTATCTATCTATCTATCTATCTATCTATCTATCTATCTATCTATCTATCTATCTATCTATCTATCTATCTATCTATCTATCTATCTATCTATCTATCTATCTATCTATCTATCTATCTATCTATCTATCTATCTATCTATCTATCTATCTATCTATCTATCTATCTATCTATCTATCTATCTATCTATCTATCTATCTATCTATCTATCTATCTATCTATCTATCTATCTATCTATCTATCTATCTATCTATCTATCTATCTATCTATCTATCTATCTATCTATCTATCTATCTATCTGTCTGTCTGTCTGTCTGTCTGTCTGTCTGTCTGTCTGTCTGTCTGTCTGTCTGTCTGTCTGTCTGTCTGTCTGTCTGTCTGTCTGTCTGTCTGTCTGTCTGTCTGTCTGTCTGTCCGTCTGTCTGTCTGTCTGTCTGTCTTTCTCTCTGTCTGTCTAACTCTCTATCTATCTATGACTATTGCTTTCTTTCAGACAGTGGTGAGGACTTAGTAGAATCCGTTTCCGTCTCAGTCTCCGTGTTCGTCTCCGTCTGCTTCTTTTTCTTCTTTTTCTTCTTCTTCTTCTTCTTCTTCTTCTTCTTCTTCTTCTTCTTCTTCTTCTTCTTCTTCTTCTTCTTCTTCTTCTTCTTCTTCTTCTTCTTCTTCTTCTTCTTCTTCTTCTTCTTCTTCTTCTTCTTCTTCCTTCTTTGCGCACACAGTCGGTAATCTTAGCCGAAAGTTCTGGTTGTTTGTCCACCTCTGGACTTTAGTCTTTCTCCGAAACCTTAATATTGCCTGCACATCTATTTTGGAGTTGAGCTATGAACTGGCAATATGGAAATCGTGGCATTTCCATAAACGCTTCATTAGCATCTTCATCAGACAGCGAGGAATTCGAGGAGCTCCAGTTCAGATGGTGCGAATAGAAGCTTAATAATGTGTTGTCTTCCGTTTACCCTGGACGAAGAGTGTTGAACAGATCCACTGGTCACCCCTAGCTCTACCAAGTTCCCCAGACCATGATAAACTATTCTTGCCCCAACCTTTTCACTTATCCCTAAAATGCCTTAACCACATGCATCGTGTCATAAATTAATTCACCACCTATTAGTTCAGAACCTGCCACATTGTCTGCCTGTTCATACCCAATATTCCCGCATTCCTCAGAAAAAAAGAAAAAAAAAAAAACATGCAAAGAACAATCAGAGAGACTTGGATGTTAAGACAAACACCCTAGAAACATGCAAGCGTCTTAACAGTGCCCAAATGATCAGAAACTAAATGTAACATTTGGATATTTTCGTTAGGTTCTGCCGGTGCGTTAGGAATTGAGTAGGCAGATATACTGGTCGGTTCTGCACCACTTGGTTGTGAATTGATGTATGACAAGCTAGACGTTGTAAGGACCCTCTGGGAGCGAGTGAACAGTGCATAAGATCATTGCATCCGGAGAAGAATGGCGCTGCGAGGAGTTAGCAGGGGATCCGGCTGACGCTCAACCCTCAAGGAAAGGGCGAGACGGATATACAGTCAAACAGTTACTGGTGATATCGGAATTGGAACTAATCGTTTGCAAATGGAGACGGAGCGCCTATGGAGTTGCCCTAGTGCTATGATGTCGATTCCTAATTCAGCATTCAAAATGTAACATTCTAATTGATCAAGCATGTGGCAAAAGATGGCAATGGAAAATAAGTGTTAAAATAACACACTTGTTTTGAAGGATTAAGAATTTAACACGCAACCTCGTCTAGATTGCTACCCTACTGATATCACATTTTGTAGTCCCCCTCCTCCCAGATACGAACATACCCACTTTTACACAGAAAGACACAGAGATACACATGCAAACAGATATATAGACAGAAATGCCGGCAGGCAGGCTGACAGACAGACAGACAGACAGACAGACAGACAGACAGACAGACAGACAGACAGACAGACAGACAGACAGACAGACAGACAGACAGACAGACAGACTGAGCAAATTTAAGGATGCAACAAATCGTGAATGAACTGACTGATGAGCAGACAACGCTCTTTCACTTTCTCCAGCAGTTGTTCCCTGCGAGCAGACAGCACTAGCCTGCACCCAGCTTCAGCCAAACACAGAGCTATGTACTCCCCAATACCGCTGGATGCTCCAGTAATCCACACTACCTTGCCTTTGAGACTCGCTGAAATTAAACCCAAAGAAAACATCATCAAAATCCTTTTTTTTTTTTTCTACTTCATCAGCTTACACGTGTGAAATAAGCAAGTTAGGTGTTTAAAATGTACAGTTCTTCCATGCACAGCGAATAACCAAATGTAAAAATGATAGTTCCACTGAGTATCACTATACTTAACTGGGGCCATTGAAAAAAAAATAAAGAGAGGGGTTGGGAAAGGGGGGGGGGGGAATTGGAAAGAGGATATAGGGAGCAGGCTGTTTAGGACGGCGAAGAAGAATAAGAAAAAGACGGATAAGAAATATAAGCACTAGTAGTATTATTAGTGGTGGTAGTAGTAGTAGTTATAGCAGCATTAGCAGTAATGGCAGTAGTAGTAGTAGTAGTAGTAGTAGTAGTAGTAGTAGTAGTAGTAGTAGTAGTAGTAGTAGTAGTAGTAGTAGTAGTAGTAGTAGTAGTAGTAGTAGTGGCTGCAGCAGCAGCAGTGGTAGTCGTAATATAAGTATTAGTAGTAGTATTAGTATTAGTAGTAGTATCAGTAGCTGCAGCAGCAGCAACAGTAGTAATACTAGTAATAATCGTAGTAGTAGTAATGGTAGTCGTTGTAGTAGTAGCAGTAGTAATAGTAGCAGCAGCAACAGCAGCAGCAGCAGTAGTAGTATTAGTAGCTGTAGTAGTGCGGCGTGCGTAGCTTACACGTTGCGAGTCCGGCTGGGAAATTCAAAGTACAGCGATCGAAACCCACAGCTGGCTGCATGGATTGTTATCGTGGTATGGGGCGTTGCAGGTCGACCCAGACTAAACTTGACAGTTCTGGGGAGGTAAAGATCGCCGGCATAATGCTGACCATATTACCCATCCTGCGGATGAGGATCACCTTCGAAAAACTTAATTCCGTTCAACCGTTAGGTTATATTAAGGCCCCCAGCAATAGCCAAGGTTAGGCTTTAAAAGACACACACACACATATTGCGCCGGACATTGGGACGCGATGATGGTAATGATGACGATTATTATTATGTGCTAAAATCAGAATGCAGCCTACTGAGTAAAACCCCCCCCCCCCCCCCCCCACCCCAGGCTTGAGCCGAGCTTCCCCACTAAAAATTTACTGCGACATGGGACACACACTTCCTTTTTTTGTGTGTGTGGGGGGAGGGGAAGCTGGTATGTGGGGAAAAAGTGAGGGGGGGGGGGGGTAATATAACCCAAACCTAGATGGCCTTTAAGCCACTTGCACCTGTAGGATTCTCATTCAGATATTGGCACTTTGTGTCACCGGATATTAATCGCTCATTGTGAAATCTTAGATGGGTTAAAATGCACTCATTCACTCTCTCTCTCTCTCTCTCTCTCTCTCTCTCTCTCTCTCTCTCTCTCTCTCTCTCTCTCTCTGTGGATCAGTAAGCCCGGACAGTAAGTGTCAACAATGCTGACGCCCTAATGCTTACTGTGATCACGTGATCAAGTTGCCAGATATATGTGTTCAATATAAAACAACAATGGGCATTTACTGGTTGACATGGTTAACTTTGGGAACTCAAATATTTTCAGGCATCTTGAGAGGCAGCCGCCGTGGTGTAGCGGTTAGACGCTCGCCTGCGGATTGGAAGGTCGCGGGTTCGGGTTCTGAAGGTACCGGACAATTTTCAAAAATGACATCTGCTCCCAGGTCGATTCAGCCTTAAATGGGTACTAGGTGAAGTCCTAAGAAGCAAATGCGGCCGGCGTGGTGTTGACCGCATCACTCACCAAGTACCGACTGGTTTATATTGTAGGTCTGTCTCTATATCCAAAAGGCATAAACGACTGGAAAAGGTAATCACTTACTGGCCTTGTTGAGAATAAAGGACCTCTGGAATCAATACTTACATTACAATTGAAAAAAAAAAGGCGGGAGGTGGGGGGGGGGGGGGCACTGATCTGAGGTGAAAGGGAAACATCTTTACATATGTGCTGCCATTAATAACGACACTTTATACATACCTGGCTGGTTCCCAAATTTAGCATACAGTGCCAGTAATAGATCTGCATCCAGCCTGGTCAAAGCGATTATCACTGTCAGCGTGACCAGGAAGGCAACAACTGGTATTGATGCCAGCAAAAGACACAGCATCTTTAATTACGTCTGTTAAAAATAAACAAAAACAAAAACTGTCTTTATGTGGAGAGTGTACAGCTGCCGTGTTTAGTTGCTAGATGCTCGCCAGCCGATCAGAAGATCGTGGGTTCCCGTCCTATCAAAGACAAATTATTAAAAAAAATCCACTTTGGCTCTCAGGTTGACCCAGTTTTAAGTGGGTAGCAGGTAAAGTCCTGGGAGGTAAAGGCGGCCAGTGAGATATTAACCTCATCACCTATTAAGTATGCATCTATGAAACATAGGTCGTCATATCTACTTTAATAAGAACATCATAGACACCATTGAAGCACTTTATAAAGATGAAAGCAATGCAGTACTCATTCAAAATGACATAGGGAATTTTATAAGACCAGTGTGGGAGTGAGACAGGGTTTCATACTATACCCTGTTCTTTTTAATTTGTATTTGGAACACATAATGAAAGAAACACTAAAAAATAAGAAACATCTTTATCCATTAGCGGAAGACAACTGTGTAATTTACTTTTTGCAGACGCCATCGATCTCATGGCTGGTTCCGAAACAGAACTCCAAGAACTTAGTGCAAAATTAGAGAAAGTTTGTCGTAAATATGGCATGAAAATGAATGCCGAGGAAAACAAGATTCTGGTAAATAGTCACAATAATTAGGTACCTACCAACATACAGACAAAAGAGATAAAACTAGAAGAAGTAGAAACCTTAAAATATCTTGGCTCCCACATTTGCAACGATGGGAGCTGTACCAAAGAGATCAAGACAAGACTTGATATGGCAACATCCCTGATGTCGCAACTGATACGATGTGGAAGAGCAAAATCAGCATCGCAGTCAAGGTGAGTATTTACAAATCACAGGAATTGTCTTTTTTCATGTACGGATGTGAGCGTTTGACTCTCACTGTGGAAATGAAAAGGAGGATTCAGGCTTTCGAATGTAAATTCTATAGACGCATTTTACGAATTAGCTATTTAGAACACACAACTAATAGATATGTCAGAGAAAAATATACAAATTTGCTATACATCAGGAGCCTCTCTTTGCAGTGGTGAAACGTCGAAAGCTACCTTGGATTTAGGCATGTGGTCAGACACGATTCGATTGCAAAGACTACTTTAAGGAACACTGGGTGGTAGTCGAAAAAAAAAAAGGAGGGCAAAGAAGATCTGGAATGACAACATCAAGAAACGAACAGGACTAAGTTATCATACACTTATTCATCAAGCGGAAGACATAGAAAGATGGCAGATTGTTTATGTGCTAGTGCTTCCATCAATACACATCCACGACCCTAATGGGTCAAGGGTTATGCTATGTTATGTTAACAATTTGCCATTTGCCCAGTTTCTCTGGGGGAAAAAAATGTATTACCCTCCTACCATTGTTGACATAGCATCCACAATGTTGACATAATTAATGCGCTGACACAGTAACCCATGTGTATTTGTTGTGTGCAGTGCAGAATAACAGCTGTTTACGAGTTTGGCTTTGGCCTATAAATATGAGCCTTAACTACAAATTAAATATGTCAGCTACATTTAACGGCCTTCTACTAATTAACAAACATTACTATCCTGAAAAGTAGTAGACAATTGAACAAGGTGTAGACAACGATACAAGTTGGAGGACTATAGGAACAGATGGACTGACAGCAGTCTGAGGGAGTGTACAACAAAGACAAGAGACAATGCAACGCTGCAACAGCTTTCATTGAGGAGGCGAAATCTGACAGATTAATTAATATGATGTTGGTGTAAAAAGAGTACATATATTTTAAAGTAACTGCCATATAAACTCTGTATACCCCTATCACTGTGTGACCCCTAAAGCCATTCTTGTTACCACGTACAGAGCACGCATTGTTCACTTTGGGGGCGTCGAGGTTGACCAGGGCAGATTAGTGGCACCAAGGCTATAGTGATATTTGCGGTCCTGTTCACTTTTCCCGGCCCATCTACATACTACCAGACCTTTCATTATACTTTCTAAGACTCTTTTACATCAGAGATGTGATACTTTGTCTTCCATTAAATTACATAAGCGTCGATGTCGCGTGTTCTATAATACACAACGACACGGCTTTCAACCACCCCAGAACATCTAGAACTGGCCCTAACCCAAACCTTCCTACCCACAGCATCAGCCTAGGTCACTCGAGAGACTCTTTTCGAAGAAAGCAGTACAATGTTACATCCCTCAAACCTAGATCAGACTGAGAAAGTGTGTAGATGGTCGGGAAACGTTTAAAGTTTAATATTAGGGAGTGGGGTGGTAGGATGGGTGGGACCCGTGCGATAAAACACTTCATCATGGTAAAGTAGATAGATGCTCTGCTGAAAAAAAAATCGTTACACTCAAGCAGCATCCCCGAAGCAGAGCTGTAGGTAATAATTGTGACATGGTTATGTGCGCCATATAAAATGACTTAGCATTGCCCACTACCAAGAGCCATGAAAAGGACTCCTCCAGTGTTGGTACGATCAAGGACACAGAAACGAATGCTGTTCCGACCGGCGACTAAATTGTCTACTGGCGAGCTAGTGGGAGACCCGGTGGCCGATGTGAGCATGGCTAGAAAGAACAGCATATTTTAGTATTCCAACGCTTTTAACACTATAAAAACATGGACAAACTGGGTCTAACACAACCCCCCCCCCTTCCCTCCCAGAGAGTGCTGCAACCTTTGTCACAGGCATTCTCTTTCCCAGAATGAAAAGGTAAATGAAAGATATCGCAAAAACCAAACAACAGAGCCTGACACACACATAACCTTCAGGAAAGTCGACCAGCCCACCTAATTTGGGAATGAAAAGTGACCTACTCTATTCGGGGAGATTACGTCGAACTAACCACATATTGTTAATTTAAGCTGGAAAAATTAAGGGGTGAGAGGAGTTGGAGTCTTGCCAAATACGCAAAAGAGCGCATGGGCTTTGCTATATATTTTAGGTAGCATTGGGGAGGAGGAAGAAGGGCGGAAAAGGGGGGGGGGGGGAGAGAGAAGGTGGGATGGGGGCGTTCATGGTCATGCATATACTCAGGGTACTGCGACGAGTTGGAGACATATGACCTAAAAGATCAAGAGGAATATGGAAATAACTGTGCGGGGTATTTTCTTCGTTCACGGGCTGTAAACTCCAGAAATGTTTTCTTGTTCGTCCACTTCTGAACTTTGGTCTTTTTATAGAACCTTATTTTGGTTTACATATGAGTTTCCTAGGCGTGTCTTATATGTATGCAGACTGTTTGTTCTGTGTGAAGGCGACACACCTAATTAGTCGCCTTTTAGATATGCTTGATATGGGGTAAAACGTTTATTATTGTGTCGCCTAAAATGAGGTCACAGAAGTCTGGGATATGACTGCCAATGTAGTCGTTTCATAGTTAGCGTGTATTTGTGTACGTGTGCTGTGTGCTGTGTTGTCTTTGTTTGCTGATGAAGGCTAATCGCCGCAGCGTCCTTTGTTTGTTCCTTGTAACTGATTTTGGGAAGCTGACACAAATATTTGTTTTTTTTCTTATCCCCTTTTCTTCTCCTCTCTAGAATTTCCAACCTTTTTAAAAACTTATTCCATAAAGGGAGAAAGCAAACTTGTAGTTTATTACGTAACATGTAGTGTGTTGGGAAATGGTTTTGGGCAACATCTGGTTTGCGGTGCAGTCTGTAATCATGACCGCATTATTGAAAGGCCAAGGTCACTTGACAAAAAGAGATATAGACTGTATCTGAAATCTGGGCCAGCCAGCTGATTTACAATTGAAGATTTGTTAATAAGTTTGCTAGCTCCGATTGTAGCATTTAACCCTATTCTGGCTAGGTACTGCTTGTTAGTTTACACACTCCTATATTGACGATATATATATATATATATATATATATATATATATATATATATATAACTAGAATGTCTTTCTATTGGAACCCATAAAGGCATAGAAATAAAGGATGATCACACTAAAAACATGGGAAGGGGATCTAGAGAGTGAAGTTAAAAAGATAGGGAGGATACTGGGAGAGCTGCATACGATAGCAAAGAATAAAAAGACATGACGTCAGTTGTTTGATGGCCTATCCTCCATTGGAGATTAGAAAGGCAGAAGAAGATATTGACATACTATTGTGCCATTTAATTATCACGTTGTATAGGTATATGATCGTGTTATCAGTAGCCTAATGCGTTATGAGAGCAGTTTCATAACTGCAGACCTCTTTCCTGTGACGCTGGCAATGGTATGGGCGTTGACAGTTTCGTTATTCTTCCTCTTCTACAGCATTCCGAGTCTTTAAAGTTCATTGCTGCAGATGTCACCCGCCTCTACTTTTCTTTCTGGTTAATCTTCTTTTCAGTTGGTGACACTAGGTATCTGGACAGTAATTATCTCTCTAACGTCTTCTTGTTATGCCTCGTGGTCTACGACCATTCTGCTTCCTTGTGTTCACAGTTTTTACCTTTCTGTCATTTGACATTCTCTCAATGTGCCACAACCAGCTCAGTAAATTAGCTCTCATGATGCCAGTAAACAATGGCGATTTAAACAGATTATGAATTTCGTTGTTGCTTCTCACTTTTCATTCCCCGCTATTTGCATCTTTGATGGGTCAGTCGTGAGACTGTTTTCGAACATTTGTAATACGGTTTCATCTCTTTTAGTTATGCTTCAAGTTTCATTGCCATTTAAACGACTGGCCTTATCAACGTTTTATATATTTTGATCTTAGTGTTGCGAGAAAGACACTTTGACTTTAGCAGATGTTGTTTACATGTAGCTGGCAGCTTTAAATTGTAATGGTTAGTTGCGTGTCCTTTACATGACGTTGCAGAACCAACCCCAGCAGCCCCTGGCTGTTGTGTGGTTTCTCTGTAGCTGTAATACACATCGTGGTTGTAACTGATTCAGAAAGCATGCTGAGGAAGATCAGAACAGGTATGCTTCGTGCAGAGTGGCATGCTTCGCTGCGGAGGACACGAGTGATGAGTATTGTCTGGATTTTGT